CCCACTATGCTTTTAGTTTTAAGTTTTTCATAGGAGAGAAATTTGTGAGTTTCGTTGATTGGCCGGAGTGCTTGCAGTCTCGAGTGGGTCAGTTTGATAAAACAATATTCAATTAAAATTCACTTGCTAGTTTGAGTGCTATCATGTCATGCCAATAGAGAATACTGGTCATGCTGAATCGACTAAAATCATGATTTTGGATCCAGTTTCATGTCCCAGTTTTTGAAGGAATGAAATTCTGCAAGCCTTGTGACCGTATTGCGGCTTCCTTAAGTGGCAAATAACTGACCGATGCAAAATCAGCAAACTGTTCATTTGAATTGAAACTACAAACTTACCTATTTTGTTAGCACCAAATTGTCGTTGTTTAAATCTTACGGTCTTTGGAAACGAAACGCAGGACTTGATCGCGATGCGGTATATTTTGTAGTGAATCAGGCAAGATGACAAGACCGGAATCAGAAAATTTGTTATGTTACTCACAAATGAATATATCCAAGAAAACGTGAAATGACAATATCCATTTTTGACTCTTTTTTGTTCCCCGATAGCTTTCGACGAGAAGACTGGGGTGAGCGCGAAAAGCATTGAGTAAATCCAAAGGATAATGGTGATGGCCATGACACGTCGCTTGGTTATCAGTGGTGATAGCTTTAGATGATCGAGGGGGTTCTTAAGTTTAACGTATCTGTAAACACTCAAAGCCAAAAGGCTAAGAATAGATGTAGGAACTGTGAGAAGGTATGCAGTGGTGAAAACATTACACATGATTTCTCCATGTCTCCATTCAGTGCTGTCTGAAACGATGAATTCCAGATCAAAGGGCATGACCAAACATGTGGTCAAGAAATCCGAAACTGCGACGGATAATACGAAGCACGCGTCATTGGATTGCCGCAGAGGCCTGGTGCTTAGTATGACCAAACAAACCAAGATGTTTGCCAGTAGAGACACAACAATGATAAGACCCAGAAAGGCTGAGAGCACGATTTTATATTCCATCCTGTAGAACGAAATATTGGGAGTGGCGGTTAAATTGCTTTCTCTTGAGTCATTCATGGTAGTCCCTACAAGAAATGAAGAGATGTTAACTACAGTATTATACTGGTTAATCGCTAGTTATGGCCAAGAGGGTCGCTTTTCGGGTCCTTTTTTTCCAGACTACCGACCGTCAAATTTGAAAAAGCTCGAAGGAGGCCGGAATAAAGTCTTCTCATGGGGATTTAGGGCGTTTATCGCTCTTGCGATCCATGTACGATTGCGTATCAACTCGTCAGTTTTGTTCTATTTACCTACACTATTGAGTTTTCATAGAAGGACTGTGGCTTATCGATACAAAATTGTGAGGTTGTTTGTTGGGTTCTATCTATTGCTAAGATTCGTCTTTTACGTTTAATTTCGTCATTGTATTTTGAAAGGCTATGCGAGTACAATTTATTTAACAGTCTGTTCTATCCCTAAGCATTTAAAGTGGCCCGAACCTATTTATACGCGCGTTGTTTATGTTTTTGAATCGCGTTTTTCGGCAGAAAAGATTTAACCGATTTCTATGTTTTTTGGCATCCTTAATAAAAAATAGTCGAAATGTAAGAAAATGTTACTTATCTTTTTGTAGGTATATAAAAGTTTGAGATATCGGCATATGTTTAAAACCGCATTTTGACAAAAAATATCAACTTTGAAACCCTAAGATAGATTTTTCTCTAACTTCAATCAGTAAATACACTTCAGAGCTCTCTAGTTTTATATCTGCAAGTTTGAAGTCAATTGTGACCGTAGAACTCGCTGCACAGATAGCTGGTCAAATTTGACCTTAAAATGCAACACTGACATATTTGTGAAAGTTGACGCATAAATATAAAGGAAAACTTCCGACGGACCATCTCTTTATCCACTTGGGGATAAAGATGAAGAAAATAAGACAATCGTCTTTTCATTACTGCCCGTGCGAATGTGATGCGGCAAATCAAACAAAGTGAATAAATTAGCTAATACAAGGGTTTTTGTTGCAGCTGAAAATGGATCGGTTGAAGTACTGGAGTTGGTGGCTTTATTTCTCCTCAAGACGGGAACCTTCGGTGCTGAAAACTGGTAGGAGATTTCCCTAGATGCTATATCTTGCCTTGTTGAGATTTTTTCGAAAAGAAGAAGGGCAAATACACAGTAACTTCGATAAACAGATGTTCTTTAATCTTACCCCGCATTCAGCATAAAGTTGTTCTTCTTGTATTGTAAATTGTATCCGCCGTAGGTTTCTGATTACTCAGTTTCTTACAACAAAGGTTTGGGCAAGAATACTCTTGCAGATAGGAGACAGTCCGTCGGCAGTTTTCCTTTATTTGTGCGTCAACTTTCACCAATGTGTCAGCGTTACATTTTAAGGTTAAATTAGTCCAGCTGTTTGTGCAGCGAGTTCTACGGCCACGATTGACTTCAAACTTGCAGATAAAAAACTAGAGAACTTTGAGACTTATTTGCTGAAATTGGAGAATAATCTATCTTTTTTAGCTAGGGTTTTTCATTTTTTTTTTTGTAAAAATGCGGTTTTAAACATATGCAGATATCTCAAACCTTTTTATACCTACAATAAGAAAAATAACATTTTCTTAAAGTTCGACTTAAAAACGGCCAGAAATCATAGACATCGGTTAAATCTTTCCTGCCGAAAAACACGATTCAAAAACATAACCAACGCGCATATACTAAATAGGTTTAATTCGGCTTAACATTGTTGATGTTTTAACTAAAAGTACATACTTAAGGGAATTTTAGCCGCCTGAAATAACAGTGTGCTTACAAATATCCAATAAGCGACGTCCTTACCTTGCTTGGTCTCTTCTATCTGAAAGGGAGGAAAAAAATGTTTCTTTTCTCTCTAGGCCAACAGTATATGAAGAACAGGTGTAGCGGAAGCTATAGTAATTTATAGGCATTGGCACCAACACTTAACACAGTTGCTAATTTTTGTTTCTTTATGTTTGTTTCGAAGCCGTTAGGTGGAATAATCGGTCAATAATAGAGAGATTAATTTCAAAAAGCTTCACGTATACGGCAAACGGCAAACGTCAGATTCAAGTTAAGAATTTCTCAAAATAGAAAATGAGCAGATAAAACAGCCCAAAACAATTCTTTTGAATACATTGAAATTGCGTGAAACTACTAATTTGTGTGTAGAGGTAATGAACAGTGCGACAAGTAAAGGGGAAACTTGGTCATGTGGTACAAATTCGCGTTTGCCGTTTAACGTAAGTGATGCTTAACCTCCCTAAAAGCTTTAGTTAATAGCTCATCTAACTGCAGCTCCATATTGATAACTTTGAATGCTAGGTTTTTTGATCGAATGAATTACCACTAGCCTCAAGTTTTTAACACTTTAACTGGCTTTCCTGCTGCTTATTTGATTTTACATGCTGATAACCCCTGGGCCGTCGTCATTAATCCCAGGCTTCGAGGCCTAGGGGAGAGGTTGCTGGGCCGCAAATTTGGGTAAAAGCAAACCATTACCTTGTTTTGGAAAAAAATCGTCAATTTGTTACCCTGTTTCAGACGAGGCCTTCAGTATTTTATAATCCTGATTTCGTTTGGCATTCAGAATTGAATAACGTTTTAGCATCCTGAAATTAAATTTCGTTTTTGGAAATAACGCTTTTAGTAGCACAAATGAAGACTGCGCAACATTAACCTTCACACTGCTTTTAGGGTTTCCATGTCCAAAAAGATACTCTTTTCTAGATGCAAAATAGTAAAATTATTCACCGGCACAAACCAATTCAGACCAAATAAGGGAGTAAGGGGAGCCTCAGAGAGTTGATAGTCACAACAACAGCACAACATCGCGACGTAATTGACCAATAATGAGTCAATACCATCAACTGACGCCTGACTGACGCAAAACACACTTTGACTCTGAAGATGATTGCTGTACAGGTTATACAACCGGTAAAAAAAATTGAGAACAGACGAAAAAGTGTTGCTGTCTAAAGAACAAGCTACTTCAGCCGATGGAGGTCAGGTGACCTAATTTGCATAATTCAAAAGCACGAAATTAGCACAAACTAAAAATGTGTGCAGCTGGCAAAGTTTTATGTGTCTAAGTCTAAAGCTCTTAGATGTAGACCACCCCCTCACTTTTGCAGAGAGCAAATTGAAGCTTATGTCTTAATTTACCTGAGTAGTTATTAAATAACCATTACAAAATTTAACGAATTGTATAAGCAGATTGGTCACATCCACAGACTCAAAGTGAAAATCAACTTCATGTACCGAAAGTACATGAAGTAAGTAAGTTATGTAGGAAATTACTGTTCGGTAGCTTTCATTTCAATGGCAACCACAGAATTTAGACCCAAAGCCGGTGGGTAGGGGGTTATTTTATTTTCCCTCCGCACTCCACTATCTGAGCGCCTGATGAACAGGCTAACAATCACAGGATTCTACTTTAGACCATACAGAGGTTACCGTAAAATTCCGAAAATAAGCCCCGGGGCTTATATTTTCAAAGGCCCTTTTGGAGGGGCTTATATTCGGAGGGGCTTATCTACGGAGCCGGAAATTTGCGTCTCAAAATCGATTGACCACGACCACGAGGCAACGACAACTTTAAAAACAGTAGGCTTAATGATCAAAACAACAGCTAAGCACGTGCAACACGCTTTTTAGTACATTTCTTTGATGTCCACTGCACGACTACGACGTGAAAGCTCCTAATTTGAGGTTTTATGGAGGACGTTGACATACGACAACGAATCCCCTTCCTCTTTTTGAACCTGAATAAAATCCTTAACAATTCAACTCCAGGAAAAGCCGCTTGCATTTGACATATTGAGCGGGTC